TCCTTTCCCTGGGGGGGGGGGTTACCAGGGCCTGGTCCCCAGCCCCGGGAACACACAAGCTGACTTGCAAGTAGCCTCTCAGGCCAGTATTCAGATGCGTTGGGTGGTAAAGGCTCAGCCACTTCCAGTTGAGAGCGTGACCTGGGGGAGAAGGACGTAGGGGCTGCTGTTTGTGCGATGGCTTGTGTTCTCCCTGCCCTGCGCTCAGCTTTGACACGCCCCGCTTCCAAAGCCCGAAGGGCCCACCGTGACACACAAGCTGACTTGCAAGTAGCCTCTCAGGCCAGTATTCAGATGCGTTGGGTGGTAAAGGCTCAGCCACTTCCAGTTGAGAGCGTGACCTGGGGGAGAAGGACGTAGGGGCTGCTGTTTGTGCGATGGCTTGTGTTCTCCCTGCCCTGCGCTCAGCTTTGACACGCCCCGCTTCCAAAGCCCGAAGGGCCCACCGTGATCGGCCAGGCTGCCCTCCACCCACGCCCCGCTTCCAAAGCCCGAAGGGCCCACCGTGATCGGCCAGGCTGCCCTCCACCCACGCCCCGCTTCCAAAGCCCGAAGGGCCCACCGTGATCGGCCAGGCTGCCCTCCACCCACGCCCCGCTTCCAAAGCCCGAAGGGCCCACCGTGATCGGCCAGGCTGCCCTCCACCCACGCCCCGCTTCCAAAGCCCGAAGGGCCCACCGTGATCGGCCAGGCTGCCCTCCACCCACGCCCCGCTTCCAAAGCCCGAAGGGCCCACCGTGATCGGCCAGGCTGCCCTCCACCCACGCCCCGCTTCCAAAGCCCGAAGGGCCCACCGTGATCGGCCAGGCTGCCCTCCACCCACGCCCCGCTTCCAAAGCCCGAAGGGCCCACCGTGATCGGCCAGGCTGCCCTCCACCCACGCCCCGCTTCCAAAGCCCGAAGGGCCCACCGTGATCGGCCAGGCTGCCCTCCACCCACGCCCCGCTTCCAAAGCCCGAAGGGCCCACCGTGATCGGCCAGGCTGCCCTCCACCCACGCCCCGCTTCCAAAGCCCGAAGGGCCCACCGTGATCGGCCAGGCTGCCCTCCACCCACGCCCCGCTTCCAAAGCCCGAAGGGCCCACCGTGATCGGCCAGGCTGCCCTCCACCCACGCCCCGCTTCCAAAGCCCGAAGGGCCCACCGTGATCGGCCAGGCTGCCCTCCACCCACGCCCCGCTTCCAAAGCCCGAAGGGCCCACCGTGATCGGCCAGGCTGCCCTCCACCCACGCCCCGCTTCCAAAGCCCGAAGGGCCCACCGTGATCGGCCAGGCTGCCCTCCACCCACGCCCCGCTTCCAAAGCCCGAAGGGCCCACCGTGATCGGCCAGGCTGCCCTCCACCCACGCCCCGCTTCCAAAGCCCGAAGGGCCCACCGTGATCGGCCAGGCTGCCCTCCACCCACGCCCCGCTTCCAAAGCCCGAAGGGCCCACCGTGATCGGCCAGGCTGCCCTCCACCCACGCCCCGCTTCCAAAGCCCGAAGGGCCCACCGTGATCGGCCAGGCTGCCCTCCACCCACGCCCCGCTTCCAAAGCCCGAAGGGCCCACCGTGATCGGCCAGGCTGCCCTCCACCCACGCCCCGCTTCCAAAGCCCGAAGGGCCCACCGTGATCGGCCAGGCTGCCCTCCACCCACGCCCCGCTTCCAAAGCCCGAAGGGCCCACCGTGATCGGCCAGGCTGCCCTCCACCCACGCCCCGCTTCCAAAGCCCGAAGGGCCCACCGTGATCGGCCAGGCTGCCCTCCACCCACGCCCCGCTTCCAAAGCCCGAAGGGCCCACCGTGATCGGCCAGGCTGCCCTCCACCCACGCCCCGCTTCCAAAGCCCGAAGGGCCCACCGTGATCGGCCAGGCTGCCCTCCACCCACGCCCCGCTTCCAAAGCCCGAAGGGCCCACCGTGATCGGCCAGGCTGCCCTCCACCCACGCCCCGCTTCCAAAGCCCGAAGGGCCCACCGTGATCGGCCAGGCTGCCCTCCACCCACGCCCCGCTTCCAAAGCCCGAAGGGCCCACCGTGATCGGCCAGGCTGCCCTCCACCCACGCCCCGCTTCCAAAGCCCGAAGGGCCCACCGTGATCGGCCAGGCTGCCCTCCACCCACGCCCCGCTTCCAAAGCCCGAAGGGCCCACCGTGATCGGCCAGGCTGCCCTCCACCCACGCCCCGCTTCCAAAGCCCGAAGGGCCCACCGTGATCGGCCAGGCTGCCCTCCACCCACGCCCCGCTTCCAAAGCCCGAAGGGCCCACCGTGATCGGCCAGGCTGCCCTCCACCCACGCCCCGCTTCCAAAGCCCGAAGGGCCCACCGTGATCGGCCAGGCTGCCCTCCACCCACGCCCCGCTTCCAAAGCCCGAAGGGCCCACCGTGATCGGCCAGGCTGCCCTCCACCCACGCCCCGCTTCCAAAGCCCGAAGGGCCCACCGTGATCGGCCAGGCTGCCCTCCACCCACGCCCCGCTTCCAAAGCCCGAAGGGCCCACCGTGATCGGCCAGGCTGCCCTCCACCCACGCCCCGCTTCCAAAGCCCGAAGGGCCCACCGTGATCGGCCAGGCTGCCCTCCACCCACGCCCCGCTTCCAAAGCCCGAAGGGCCCACCGTGATCGGCCAGGCTGCCCTCCACCCACGCCCCGCTTCCAAAGCCCGAAGGGCCCACCGTGATCGGCCAGGCTGACCTCGACACTCGCCCCGCTTCCAAAGCCCAAAGTGACCCAGGGAGGGTGCGTGAGGAGTGGCCCCCCAAGTGAGCTCAGTGTGTGTCGGATCCCTGCTGAGCAAGTGGGGCATTGCTCCCCCACGGATAGAGCCCTGTGCTGGGGTCTGGTGGAGTAGGGCAGGCCCGGACCCCCTACCAGGGCTGCTGCCCCAAACCCCTGTAACTCCTGCCATTAGGCTGTACTGCCCCGAACGGAGGGAAATCATCACAGTCTCTCGTCATGGGGCTGTGCTGCCCTATACCCCAGGGCTGTGGCCATTGGGCTGCACTGCCTTGGGACGAGGCACCATCGAATCACGGAGGCTCCGCGAACAGCCTGCACCTACCGGGAGAGTCGTACACGTGTCCCACCTCCAGCTGCGAGAGGGAAACAGCAGGTTAGGGGGTGAGAGTCTCTGCCCCTGTTCCTCCTGCCATTAGGCTGTACTGCCCCGAACGGAGGGAAATCATCACAGTCTCTCGTCATGGGGCTGTGCTGCCCTATACCCCAGGGCTGTGGCCATTGGGCTGCACTGCCTTGGGACGAGGCACCATCGAATCACGGAGGCTCCGCGAACAGCCTGCACCTACCGGGAGAGTCGTACACGTGTCCCACCTCCAGCTGCGAGAGGGAAACAGCAGGTTAGGGGGTGAGAGTCTCTGCAGTGCCAGGCATTCTCCCCACACTCCCCATTCAGGCTGCTCCAGCCCCCACCAGGTGGGGAAAGAGGCCGGAGCAGCCAAACAACACGCCCACGATTTGCAGCAGGGCTTGAACCAGAACCGGGCCCCTCTTGCAGTGGAAACGCAGCCCGAGGCCGCCCTGCTGCGGCGTCTCAGTTCTGTGCAGGACGAAGCTGCCGCGTGGCTGGAGGAGCAGCTCGCGCTCGTGCAGGCAGAACAGCGTCGGCAGGGGAGGCCTCC